CTGTGCCATTGTGCTCTCCTCATTCCTTAGAGTTCAGCTTATTCTGAATTTGCTTCATCTAAAATTAAGATAATTACTCCAGTTTTTCTTTCCTCACGTATTTTTTGAGGCAGGGTTTGGGAATGTAGCCCAGGCCACAGACACGTGCCATCATGTCCAGGCCCAGCTTTCTTTCTCTTTGGTTTAGCGTGACACTTTTTCCTCTATCTATTTACTGATTTTTAAAATTTATTTTTAACGCATTCCTTTAATTTAATCTACCTGTGTCTTCCTATTTGGAATGAGTTTCTTATAGTCAACATAGTTAGGTTTTGTTTTTCTAATCCATGTTGTTGATTTCTATGTTTTAATTATATCACTTATATTGGAAGTGATAATTGACATAGTTGGATGAATGGACACAATACTTGTAACTGTTTTCCAATTGTCCTGCTTGATTTTTTTCAAATATTCTATTTTTATGTCTTATTAGTGGCAATCAAGCATTTTATATGGTTTCATTTCCCCCCCGTATCAACAAATGGGTTGTATTTTTTTCCCAAGAGTGTTTTCGGTTGTTGTCTGAGAGTTCGCAGTACACATTACAATTAACCTCATTCCAGTTCCAAACAGCACAGGTATGAGGTAATTCAACCTCTTTCTCCCACTGTGTGCTTGTCCTGGCTGCCGTTCATTTCATTCAGGCATCAGGTATATCAACAATCTATTGTTGTGATTGCTCTCCACTTGAACAACCAATCATCTTTAAGATCAATTAAAAAAGGGAAATTATACGTTTAAGATTCGAGATGCTGGCCTCTATCTTTCCCTTTCTCTAGAAACATATCTTGCAATGCCAGACTACTGTTGATAAATTTCCCATTTTTATTGGTCTGAGGGTTATTTGCCTTCATTCTTAAAAGGTAATTTTCTGGAGACAGAATTCTAGATTTTTAAAATTTTAACACTTCAGATTTCTCACCCCACTGTTTTCTTACTGACCAGTTTGTGAAGGGAAATCCACTATCATTCCTATCCATTTTTTCCTATCCATAAGTTGTGATTTTTCTCTATTTTCAGGATTTTCTTTGTTTGGTTTCCAATACTCTGAATATGATATGCCTAAGTGTTCGTTGTTGTTTTGGTATTTATTCTGATAGTGTTTTCTGAGCTTCCTGGATTTGTGGCTGGTGTCTGTTATTATTGTTTAAACTCCTTAGCTTTTATTACAACAATATTTTTCTTGTTTTTTAACTTTTCCTAGATTACCAATTATACGTGTGTTAGACCTTTGTATTGTATGACAGCTCTTGGATACATCTTCAAGGTTGTTCAAGCTTCTTCTTCAGAAGTGTCCTGAACCCTAGTGTGCCCCTCACAGGCATTCTTTATTCCTCTCACAATGCTGTTGATTTCTAACATTGTCTTTTAACTTTATGTTTTAGAATTTCTCTGTCCCTTTTTTTTTTTTTTTTTTTTTTGTCTTTTTCTTTTTTATCGGTACCAGGGATCAAACTCATGACTGCCTGCTTGCAAGGCAGGTGCTTATGCTGCTGAGCTAAACCTCCAGCCCTTCTGTCCCTTTTTAAATTGCCCATCTATTCTTGCATGTTAGGGGAAGTCCACTTTCCCTTAGCATAATAGTCACAGTTACTTTCTTTCATAATTTATTTATTTATCATAGTTTAAATTGCTGGGATGACAATTCCAAGATTTCTCCCATATCTGAATTTAGTTCTATCACTTACTTGCCTTGTTTTGTCAAACTATGCTTTTTCTTGCTTTATGTACGACTTATACATTTTCACTGAAAGCTTGACATGATATATTTGGTCACTGGACTGGAGATAAACAGTGTATTTATGATTGTCTGGCTAGAAGCTATGCCATGTGTACTGTTGCTGTAGCTGTAAGTGTGGTAGTTAACTTTATATGTCAACTGAAGTGAGCCATGGAGCACCCAAATTAGCCATTATTTGGGCAATTCTTTGGAAGGTGCTTCTTGATGAGATTAGTATTTGAATCAGAGGACTCAGAAAATGGATGGCCGCCCCAGTGTAGGCATCATCCAATCAGTGGAGGGCCTGAACACAATGAAAAGCAGAAAAAGGATTTCATCCTCCCGACAGCTGGAGCTAGAACATCTCATCTTACAGTTTTGAGCCCTCAGACTGGCATTTATACATCATCGCTCCAGGTTCTTTGGCCCTTGGGCTTGGAATGAATCACAGCACCAGGTTTCCTGGGCATCTAGCTTATAGAAGGAAGTCTGTGGGGTTTCTGAGCCTTCATGATTGTGTGTACCAGTGTCATAGTGCCCTTTGTATGTCTGGGACACAAAACCTGCCACCGATGACTTAAAGGAGAAGGGTTTGTTTTGAGTCACGTTTTCAGTCTGTGGTCAGCTGGCTCCCGTACTGATAGGCCATGATGGAGGGGTCTGGTGGAGGAAAGCTGCTTACATCATGGCAGCCAGGAAGCAGAGCGCAAATGGACGGGGTGGACGGGGAGATGCTTCCTTCCAGGCCTCCCCCCTCATCCCCAATGGCACATTCAGTTACAGATGCATCAGTGGATGGATCCACCAATGAACATGGCATCTGCATGATCTAATTACCTCTCAGAAGTCCCATCTCTGGACACACAAGGTTTGCGGGAACGTTCTAGATCTACATCACCCAGCCAGTTCCTCATCATAAATCAGGACCTCACACACATGTGTGCACACACACACGCACACACACACACACAGTGATTCTATTTTCCTGCAACTCCTCTTCCCACGAACACAGCAGGTTCCCGAGGCTTCATTTTCTTCTGTTGTGTTTGTTTTCTGTCTCCTGCTGTCTTGAGATTTCCCTAGAAACTCTCTCTTAAATACTCTGCACCTGGCTCTTTGGAGATCCCCAACAGACGAGCTATGAATTAGCTGAACAGTAATCACATATCATGCTCAAATCACTCTTGTCATACGTAAGCCACCAGACCACCGGAGCATCGTAATATTTTAAAGCTGACTCTAAAGGCTCCAGACAAAGCTGCTTTCTAAATTCAAAGCTTTAATAAACCAAGTGCTAACTTCAGCGCCTGCATCCTGAGTTGGCCCTGGAGCCCACAGCTCCAACCTCGCCTCCTTTAGAAGCTTGAATGGACTTTACCAGCCACCTGACCTTGTGAGATGTGTAGCATCAGTGAAATCCTCAGTTTCTCCACCCAGATGTGGGACCATTTTGACTTGCCTATTTTAGAGGGATTTTTTTTTAAAAAAGGATTCATACAAGTTTATGACAACTTTAAGTTATAAAGTACTACTTTCCTCCTACTTATGATTCTAAAGCATCGTTGGTAACAATTCCCCTAACCTGCACAGAGGACGGGCTGCATTATCACAAGTCCCAGAGCCTCATGAAAGCAGGGTGCACACCTTTAATCCCAGTACTCAGGAGGCTGAGGCGGGAGGATCCCTGTGAGTTTGAGGCCAGCTTGGGGTACACAGTGGATTCCAGCCCAGCCTGAACTACGCAGCAAGACCCTGTCTCGATAAAGCAAAAACCAAAGCAAACCAACAACAAAAAACACGCTGCCCAAAAAAGCCTGCTACAGTGCCTCCCCTCCCCCCATGGCAGGCAGGCTCACGGGACACAGGTGGGACACTGAGTTTTGTTTTTGCATTTCACTTACATTTGTTCAAGAGACTATTAAGAAGAGACCATGTTCAGAGCCATCGAGTTTTCTCAAACAAATTTCTCTTTTCATAAGGAAAGATCAGCTCTCAGACTTAGAGTCTCCAGAAAGCAATATTATCTGGCAAGAATTCAGTAATTGTAAAGAATGGTATGATTACCCTCTATTTATGTCCAATGATACTAAGTTCCCACTGATTATAGTGATACATGGTTTCATTTTAAAATAATGCATGTAAATAAAACCCCATCGAGGCTGGGGATTTAGCTCAGCGGCATAAGCACCTGCCTTGCAAGCAGGCAGTTGTGAGTTCGATCCCTGGTACCAATAAAAAGGAAAAAGACAAAAATAAAAAAATAAAAAATAAAAAACCATCACAATGGTCCAAGTGAGGTGGGAGTGCCGCAAATATTGGGAAAAATGGTAAGTAAAGATGGTGGATGAGTGAATGGCTTCTGTAACCCCTTGAGAGGGTTCTTCGTGCTGGCCCTCTGCAAACGCTGGCTCCTCTGCTTGGGGCTGTGAGGGGAGGCGATGGCACTTTCTGACACTAGCTTGCTCTGTTCCTCACACCCACCACGTCAAGGACAAACTGACCTCTCCACTCCGAGGATGGGAATGCAAGGTTTCCAGAGTGTCTGTGCTCCAGGTCGCACCATAGTGTTCACTTGGTGGCAGGGCCGGGGTTTAGGGCAGGAAGGGTCTGTGCAGAGACGTGGGAGGGCAGGTCTGAGATGGTCACTTGGAAGGTTCTGGAAAGGAAGGGCTCTGATGCCTTTAGTCCAGGGTTCTAGGAGCATGGGGTCCTTGGGAGCCTGATGCCCTTGCCAGGGTCCTCCCTGGGATGTCTATTCTGGGGACACCGAGATATTTGAAGCATTTTGCTAAGGTTGAAAATGGGATGTTTATAGCACCTCAGCCCCAGCAGACAGATGGAAACAATTAACACCATGTCTTCAAAATCACGGAGTTGGCGGCTGCTCAGCAGCCCTGATGCTGAAATCTTCTCTGGATGGATGCAGCAGAGGAGGCGAAGGGAAGCGGGATGTGATCAGCACCTTTTGCAGACCAGAACCCTAATAGAATCTTCTCAGTCCTATGAGATCACCGCTGCTATCAGCCCCATTTCTCAGATAACAAAAACGAAGATCCCAGAGGTCAGACATGTGCCCAGGGCACACATCACACAGCCAGAAGCCAGGGAGCTGGGGACCCAACTTCCACTGTTCAGGTCTTTTCCAGCTTGTGTGTAGGGAGCTGTGTTAGTTATTTTTTGCTCCTCGCTGAGACAAAGTACCTGATACCCAAAGTTGGGAAAGGAAAGGTTTATTTCTTACCTTTTTTGGAGGTTTCAGTCCGTACTCAGTTGGCTCCAAGGCCGGGTGGCATGGTGGGGCTGCAGTTATGGCAGCTGCAAACAGCAAGGCAGAAACAGGCCAAAGAGTAAGACACACCTTCTTCCTGCCATTACATTATATGCTGGCTCCACCCCCATGTGGGTGTAGCACTGACACCATCAATCCAAGCACTAGACAATGAACCAATCACAAATGCACAACACAAACTCATGAGGCCTGGGGGCCACAGACATAAACCATGACATTCCACCCCTGGCCCCAGGACTCGGGTACATCCTTTATACAAAAGACATTTAGTCCACCTCCAACAGTTGCCAAAGTCCTAAACAGCTTCAGCATTGCTGAATAGTCCAAGCCCAAGTCTCCTCCAAGATCTATGGCAAACTCTTAACCATAAGCCCCTGTACAAATGAAACAAGGTTAAACATTTCTGAAATGTAAAGGCACAAGATAAACATTACCATTCCAAAAGTTACAAACAGGGGAATAGAAAGCATTGGAAACAAAGCAAGTCCAACATCCAGCAGGACAAACATTAAGTCCTAGAGTTCCATGCTCAGCATCTGAAGCAATCTGGTTGCAAGCTCCAAAAGGCTTGGGTGATCCCACCCCACAGCACTTCCAGGGATTTCAGCTCCAGCGCGTTTTTTTTTTTTAAATGCTCCCTGCTCACTTTTTGCAGCCTTCCCTGGATCACCCACATTCTTGGCTTTTCCAAATTTTTGGTGTCTCTACTGCACCTTTGGCTTTACCCTTATATCTTTACAAATTGCCCTCTCAGGGGCACACTGCTTGGCCTCCCAGGCCCTTTACAATCAAAGTGGAAGCCTTCTTACCCTCAGAATTTGTGCATTTCCCTTGCACCTAAAATCAGCACCATGTGGATGCCATCAAGGTTTGCTGCTAGCTGGAGCAGTAGCCAGGCTTTTCTCTCTCTTGGCTGTAGGGGTTGATTGCCTGGATCGTAGGGCTCTGTGAACCTGGTTGTGAAGAAAAGCTTCTCTATGTTGTTGCCATTCTGAAACTTCATGTGGCTGGCACCATTCTGGAGCATGGTGCTCTTCAGCTCTCCCCACTGAGCAAACTTTTTTTCACTTTTGCAGTTTAGAGGCTGCAAAGGGTGGATACCACTGCTTCCTGGGATGCCCCCTGGCCATCTTTTTTATCTCACTGTTTCTTTTCAGCAATCAAAGTCTGAGTTTTATCTTTACAATCCACAGCTTTACTGGAGTTTTCCTTTTGGCTAAACTCACAGCCTTTTAAATTATCCTGCTGGGCTCTTTGCTCTTGATTTGCAAGATTAAACTGAAAGCCCCCAACAATATCCATGGCACAGCCTCAACATTTGACTGCCTTGGAATTTGCTTTGCCAGATTAATCAGTATGTTGCCCTTAATCTCAGTCTTAGGCAAAGTCTCTGGACATGATCAAAATGCAGACAAACTTTCATCAAGCCATGACACATCATGGGGAGTCCAACAACCAATGCAGTCCTTCTTCCCAGCAGAAACCTCCCAAGCCTGGTCTTTACCATCAGGCTTTCTATCAGCCTTCTGGTCTCCTGAGCTCTGACCAGAATCTCCTCTACAGAACAGCCTAGGCTGCTCCAGCTCTATGCATCCAGGTGACATGTCCAAACCTTTCCAAACTCTGCCCACAAGCCATTTCCAAAGCCTCTCGAAAAACATGGTCAGGTACAGTCACAGCAACAACCCCACTCCTAGTACCAAATATTGTTTTAGTTATTTTTTTACTTATTGCTGAGACAAAATACCTGAAGCCTAAAGTTGGGAAAGGAAAGTTTTATTTTTTATAGTTTTTGGAAGTTTTAGTCTATATTTAGTTGGCTCTAAGGCAGAGTAGCATGGTGGGGCCACAGTTTATGGTGGCTGCAAACAGCAAGGTGGAGACCAGTGAGAGAGACACACCTTTTTCCTGCCATTACATTGTATGCTGGCTCCACCCCTAGGTGGGTATAGCAATGACTTCATCAATCCAAGCACTAGACAATGAACCAATCACAAATGCTCAATGCAAGTGCATAAGGCCTTGGAGCCACTGATATAAACCATGACAGGAGCATGAAAAGTGAAAGGGCCTGCACTGGGCTGAGTGATCTCCACCTCTAAAATGTAGGGGTGAAAAGAAGATATCTATGTCCTGATTTGTGGAACCTGAGACTGTTACTTTGCAGAGGCTCTATTGATGGGATTGAATGAAAGGATCTTTCAACAGAAGTCATCCTCAATGATCCAGGTGGACCTGAAGTGTGGTTGCAAGTTTTCTTGTAAGAGGGAGGCAGAGGGAGTTTTAAACAGGTAAAGAGAAGGCAACATGACCTTGGAGGTTGGAGTGAAGTGGCCATGGTCCAAGAAATGCTGGCAGCCATGAGAAATGAGGAGAGGCAAGGGGCAAATTCTCCTTCAGAACCTCCAGAGGGCGCATGGCCTGCTAACACTCTCATGTCAGCTCCATGAAGCTGATTTTAGACTTCTGGCCTCTGACTGTGAGATGATACACTTTTGATGCTGAAAATCTTCTCTGGATGGTTCCAAAATGCTACTCCCTAGGAAGTCAGGGAGGCAGAGGGGACAAAGTACACAATGCTTTCTGTTTCTTCCAAGTCCTCCTCTCCCAGGATGCTGCAGGGGGCTGTAACCTCACCAGCATGCCCAGGCCAAGGGCAGAGGCCCTGTGGGTGCTTTGTGGAGGACGAGGATGGAGGTCAGTACAGGAGGTAGTCCAGATCTCATGATTCAGAGCCATGACAGATCAGCTAATAGACATTCTACTTCAGAAGCCAGTGCCTGAACATGCTGTGAGAAACCACAGCAACAAATGCACTTGGCACATCCTTGGGAGGGTGATGATTATCATTCAACAGCTGTCCAGGGGACTGGGACACCAGGTCTTCTTGGGGACAGGGCATGGGCTAGATGCGATGCTTGCCTGGATAAAAACCATCCCTCTCCTGGAATCGGGCAGGGGTTGCTGAGTGTGGGCTACACCTGCTCTGCAGCGAGCAGTCAGACCAGGCTTGGTATCACCTTGGGCAAGGATGCAAACATCTTGTCTGCCCAGAAGCCCCCCAGCTGGGCCTGTGTGCCAGCTCCCCGCCTCACCCCTTTGCCCACCTCCCTCGCCAGACTTCCTCATGCCTGTTTTCCCTGTGTTTTGAGAATCTACCAAATCTTGGGAGTTTTATGTCTGCTCTTCTCTCTGCCTGGGAAGTTTCCTTGTGGCTGGCACCTCTTCTTGTTCCATGTGTCAGCTAGATGCCATCTCTGCAGGCATCATCCCTGAAGCGCCAGCTAAAAAGTCCTCACACGAATGGCATGTGGTTGTGAGCTCCTTTCCCTCTGCAGCTTAGTAATTCTGGTGCTATTTGCTTGGCTGTCTTATGCTTCTATTGCACTGCCTGTCCCCAAGACTTACAGGATAGGATGGTAGTTTGGTCTCTGTTCTATTTGTATCACGAGGCTTGGGGTGTGCTAGGTCATTGATGCATCTTTGTTAAGTAAAGACACGACTGCTTTCGTGTGTATTGAGATGTTCCCCAAAGCCTCAGGTGATCAGAAGTGGGGAATTTCAAAGGTGGCTGGATTAGGGTGCATGAATGTGGATTAGCGGTGAGATATTGGGATTAAGTGTGGATAATGGAAACCCTGCTCTGGATATGGGTCACACCCATCAATATGCCTGTGGCCTGGATGGACTGTAAAGGCACAGAAAGAGGACAGGATGCTACTGCTGCCCCCTGTCTGCTCTGCCATGGACTGGTTCTCCTCTGGGATGCCCTTCTTCCGTGCTACCTTGCCCCTGAACTAGCCAACTGTGGACTTAAACTTCTTCAGACTGAGCCACAGTGAGCTTTGCTCTCTTAGTTTGAGAGTGTTGGGTATTTTGTCCCAGCAATGAGAAAAGTAACTAAGACAGTGGCTGGTATAGGAATGCTGGGACAGCTTCACGGTGGAGCCTCAGGGCGCTGCGCAGTGTCTCAGGTAAGAGGAAGGTTCGAGCAGAAGGACTGAGCACTGGGGACAGGGAAGAGTTTTGCTGAGCCAGACCAGGGCAAGGGCTCCTGCAGGCTGGACGTCAGTCAATGCAAGCCCTGGCAGGCAGGATGCACCGCAGCCCGGGAGCCCATCGGAAGGGCTTGAGAGGCTCCTGGATGGGGTGAGGTCTTCAGGGCGGAAAGGAGACTTTTAGATACGAGATGACCACAGAAGCCTTCAGATAGGGAGTCAACAGGGAAGGTTTGGTCCACAGAGATGAGCTACAGGAAGGCACGTGAGGGGTGCTGGGGGCAGCACGGGGGTCCCAAAGGGTGGAGACTTTCCTAGGTGTCTTCACTGCCTGTGGGATAGGATCTCCAGGTCCTTTTAATAGTTAAATAGTTAAAGGGGTTTCAGCCCACAGTGTGGCAGCGCCTCGCCCCCCACACCACTGAGATAAGCTTGGAAAGAAGCTCAGCAGCACCACTGTGGGGAGAGTCTGGTCACTGTTCCCAGCTCCGCACTGCAGGGTCCGAGGGGCACAGACATCCCTTCTGCAGCCCACAGCGTGGCAGTGAAACGTCTCGTCTTGGAGATCAGCACCAAACCCCAGAGTCCATGGCTGAGTCACTCAACCTCTCCCAGCCGCAGTTTCCATATCTGTAAAATGGGCACGAGAACAACCCCATTTCAAGAGCTCATTGGGCGGCTTAACTAAGGCCCTGTGAAACCCGCTGGGCAGGCAGTGAGGACCTGGAAGTGTCTGCTTACATTGTTACTGATGCTGAAGCAGCATTGCCATAGGGCAAAGACGATCTTGAGAACTGTGACTGCAGGCTGGCTCTGGAGGTGGCTGGGCTGCTGTGCAGTCCCCAGCGTGTAGACACAGAGGCTGCTCCCCTCATGGGATTGCCCTGAGGGGGGCTGGAGAGCAGGGCTACAGCCAAGGCACCAGGGCAGGCCAAAGCTCCGGGGTTTCCCAGGCATGTGTCTTACCCCTGGCTGGGCCTCAGCACCCCAGGGCCAGGCAGGCAGGCAGGTGCGTGCAAAAGTGAGACGTTTCCTTCTGCAGAGGAACAAGTGCGGGAGCTGCGTTTGTTTGTGTATTTGGGGTCAGCTT